CTGTACGAACTTCCGTATCCATGAAGACGGCCACAACCATGATCTTGAGTTCATGTCGCGTTACGTGTGACCCCAACACACTGTTCTGTACCTGTAAAATCTTCCTTTCTGTCCTGTTTTGACAGCATCACCTTGATAAATTGTTATGATCGCTCTACCTTAATTAGTTTGTACAGATTTGGATTAGTTATTACTTTGATTAGACCCTCAGCATGTGACTCTTATACCTATCATGTTATTCCAGTCATTTGGTTTGTCATCACCATATTTTTATATTTTTGTAATTATCTCTCTGCCTCATTTAATCGAATTATAGGCCATCCCTTTGCTTATTATTCATCTGTTGACACTTTACTCACACCGTCTTACACTTCTGATCACCTGCAGAGACTTATTATTGGACACTCCTCTCATACCACTTGTACGAACTTTTGATCTCTCGGCCCTTAATCTTTCTGCCTATAAATTCTGTGTCTGTGTGCTTTTCTCTCACTTCATCAGTTGAAGGGACTATACTCCGAAAGCTTGTGATTTCAAATAAACCTGTTAGACTATAAATGTGGTACTGTGTGACTTCTGACTTTGTCCACCCCAGTCCAATACCGGCATCTCTACATCATGGCTACCATCGACACCACAAACTGCCAGCTCAAAGTGGAGAGGATTTCCAAGAAGAAAACCCTGAAAGGACTACAGATCATGAACCCACTCAAGTCGACCAACACCACAGATTACACGAAGAGACTCTGCCGTCGCACCTCTTGCACATTCCTCTATCATCTCATACACCAACTCTACAGCAGACGTCGCAACCTTGAAATTGAAATAGAGTCCATATTCTCAGTATGCACTCAGGATACAGCGGACCAGCTATGAGACACTGCCAAGCAGATGAAGCAACGGGACTACACTGCCTACACGCACACCAAGGGCAAGAAACTGAAGAAACTTGGCACCACCACCAGGAATAATCAAGCCTCCCCTGGTACCATGGTTGAATCCGATACCACCACAGGGAAATTCATCGTCAACTTGTCTGACCACACCCTTCGAAGGTCTGAGCCAAGGGCTCAATTTCTGCCCCAAAACCAAAATGCGACATTGGTCTCGTGGCAGACACAAAGGAATTTATCAGGCGAACGAGGCTCCGGGAATTCTTCCACAAACCCCAAGATGTCAGCATTGAGCCCAATGAGACAACCAATGAACTGGAAAAGTTGACAGAGAGATCTGCGGTGCAGCAACCAAAGAAGAAAGAGTCGAATTGGACCACTTCAGAAGGCCGCTGCCCTAGGCTCGACATGTACACTGAAGCCGTCAGGACATGGGTTAACTCTGGATTCATCAGCTGCGCTCACAAGATAGCACAGAACGTCACTGAAGCACAACATAATGCCATCCATGCACTCAAGACCAATTGCAACATTGTCATCAAACCAGCAAACGAAGGAGGAGCCATTGTCATACAGAATAGAACGGACTACTGCAAAGAAGCTTACTGACAAGTGAACAAACAGGATCCTAAGTGAGAACCTCTCTGGCTATGTCGAGGGCATATTGAAACTCATTGTACAAGGAACCCCTAGGTTCTGTCACAACGCTACGGATTTCTTACAGAAACTCAGCACCCACGGACCAGTCGAACCAGGAACATTCCTCGTCACAATGGATGTTTCAGCACTCTATGCCAGCATTCCCCACGACGACGGCATCGCCACATCAGCCTCAGTACTCATTACCAACAACTGCCAATTTCCAGATGCCATCCTACAACTCATCTGCTTCATCCTCAACCAAAATGTCTTCATCTTCGACAACCAGTTCTTTATCCAGAGACCGAGAACAGCCACGGGTACCAAATTTTCACCCCAATATGCCAATATTTTGATACACGAGTTCAAGTAAGACTTCTTTGCTGTGCAAGACCTCTGACCAACACTATGCACCAAATACATTGATGACATTTTCTTCCTTTGGTCTCATGGTAAGGAATCACTGAAATGACTACACAGCGATATCGACAAGTTTCATCCCATCATCAGACTTACCTTGGACTTCAGAATCAATCTCATTCTGGGCCACGCACATTTCCATCAAGGAAAGACACCTGTGTACCTCACTGTACCGCAAGCCCACAGATAATCTCACAACGCTGCACTTCTCTGGCTTCCACCCAAAACATATGAAAGAAGCCATCCCCTACGGACAAGCCCTGTGCGTATACAGGATCTGCTCAGATGAGGGCGAATGCGACGAACACCTGAAGATTTTGAAGGACTCTCTCATAAGAACGGGATACGATGCTTAACTCCTTGATTGCCAATTCTGATGTGCCGCAATGAAAAATTGCAGCGACCTCCTCAGAAGACAGACACAGGACATGACTGATAGGGCACTCTTCATTATCCAGTACTTCCCCGCGCCGGAGATACTAATTATGTTCTTTGCAGCCTTCAACATGTCATCAATGACAATGAGTATCTCACCAAGATCATCCCTACACCTCCACTTCTCACCCTCAAATAACCACCCAACCTTAAACAAACCATTATTTGCAGCAAACTACCCAGCCTTTAGGGCAACATCGACCACAACACCACAGAACCTTGCCATGAGAACCTCTGCAAGACATGTCAGATCATCAACATGGATACTACCTTTACACCACCCACCACGTACAAAATGCTCATGTGACTCGATCAATGTTGTCTATCCCATACACTGCAGGCAAGGATGCCCCAAGGCATGGTATATTGGCAAGACCATGCAGATGCTACAACAACAGATGCATAAACACCATGCAACAATCGCCATCAGGAATGTTCCTTCCCAGTCGGGGAACCCCTTAGAGGTCAAGGACATTCAGCCTCTGATCTACAGGTAAGCGTCCTCTAAGACGGCCTTTGAGATACACAACACAGAATTGCTGAGCAGAAACTGATAGCCAAGTTCCATATCCATGAAGGCGGTCACAATCATGATCTTGGATTCATGTTGCACTACATGTGACAGTACCATACAGTTCTATATCTGTACAATCTCCCTTACTGTCCTGTTTTGTTACCATCACCTTGATGAATTGTTATGTACAGTTTTGGATTACTCATTACTTTGATTAGACCCTCGGCATGTGACTCTTATACCTATCATGTTGTTCCAGTCATTTGGTTTGTCTAGCACCACCTTATTTTTAATTTATTGTAATTATCTGATTGCCTCATTTAATCAGATTATAGGTTGTCCCTTCACTTGTTATTCAGCTGTTGACAGTTTACGCATCCTGTCTGTCACTTCTGATCACCTGCAGAGATTTATTATTTGACACTCTATTCACACCATTTGTCTGATCTTTTGATCTCTCTGTCCTTGATCTCTCTGCCTATAAATTCTGTGTCTGTGTGCTTTTCTCTCGCTTCATGTGATGAAGGGGCTATGCTCCGAAAGCTTGTGGTTTCAAGTATTCTTGTTGGACTATAGCCCGGTGTGGTGTGACTTCTGACTTCAAGCACTATCATGGATAGTGTTAGGAAAAGATGTGTGCTGTTCTTTAAGCTTGATGATTCTCAGGGCTGCAGTCTGATTGTTCACTCTTGCCAGATTTTGAGTACAAATAGCAACATTTTTGATGTGTAATGAATTATTAGAACTTTTGATAAAATTGGAAATTTATTGAGCCATAGAGAAGAGAAGTATTTTCAGTATTCATTTGTGGTTTGGTAGGAATTATGGCAAATTAAATTTGGGCATCTCTAGGAGTTTACTTTTCCATTGTTGAAAAGCAGGAACCAGAACAAGCAGCAGAATTTGTCAAATCACATTTGTGATGATCGTAAGGACACTAAACTGGGTGGTAGTGTGTGCTGTGAGGAGGATGCTAAGAGGCTGCAGAGTGACTTAGACAGACTAGCTGAGTGGGCAATAACTTGGCAAATGCAATATAATGTGGATAAATGTGAGGTTATCCACTTTAGTCAGAAAAACAGGAAGGCAGATTATTATCTGAAGGGTGGCAGTTCAGGAAAAGGTGAAATGCAACGAGACCTGGGTGTCATGGTAATATAGTCGTTGAAGGTTAGCATGCAGGTGCAGCAGCCAGTGAAGAAAGCTAATGGCATGCTGGCCTTCATAGCGACAGGATTTGAGTATCGGAGTAAGGATGTCTTGCTGCAGTTAAACAGGGCCTTCGTGAGGCCATACCTTGAGTACTGTATGCAGTTTTGGTTTCCTAGTCTGAGAAAGGACATTCTTGCTATTGAGGGAGCCCAGCAAAGATTCACCAGACTGATTGCTGGAATGGCAAGACAGACATATGAGGAAAGACTGGATCGACTGGACTTGTATTTGCTGGAATTTAGAAGAATGAGAGGGGACTCTCATAGAAGAATACAAAATCCTGATGGGACTGGACAGGTTAGATGTGGGAAGAATGTTCCCAATATTGGGAAAGTCCAGAACAAGGGGTCACAATCTGAGAATAAGAGATAAGCCTTTCAGGACTGAAATGAAGAAGAATCTCTTCACTCAGAGAGTTGTGAGCCTGTGAAATTCTCTCCCACAGGAAGCTGCTGGGGCCAGCTCATTAGACATATTGAAAAGGGAACTGAATGTGGCCCTTGTGGCGAAAGGGATCAAGGGGTATGGGGAAAGGATGGTAATGGGATACTGAGATTGCATGATCAGCCATGATCGTAGCGAATGGTGGTGCAGGCTCAAAGGGCCAAATGGCCTATTCCTGCACTTAATTTCTATGTTTCCATGCAATGTCTGTAAGAACTGAGAGCAAAGCAAAGCATCTTTAAAGTAGAATTCCTAAAGAAAGCATTCTATTGTGTTGAGTGTGGACTAAAATATTTATTACTTGTGGATTTTGCAGTCGAATTTGCAAGCAACTTGAGTTGAGAATTCCTCTTCATGGTGACCATCGCATTTCCTATCCTTTATTCAAATGATGCTTTATGTGTAACTTGAGGATCTTCAAATGTTTGTCAGCGCATTTCAAAATTGCTTGATCACATGTATCAACTGATGTGAATAGGTGAAACATACCCAGAATGATCGTTCCCGCCTGCTGAGAATTGATAGTTTCTTTTATTTTCTTTTCTGTGCTTACTAGGGATAACATCAACAGTAGCAACAGGAAGATCAAGCACTTCACAGATCACCATCAGTGGTGAGTATAATTCATC